CATGCCCAAGCCTTTACCACTAGGGTGGAAGGTCTTTGACTCGTTCTGAATACTTGAAGGACTTGTTCTTCAAAGTTCTAGTTGAGTCATTTGACCACCAGAATAAATAGTCTCTTTTCACCATGAAGGGAGGGGGATGATCAAGTAAACTAGGGGTCTGGGCCTTTGAAGAGGTAGGGTCATTCAAACTGTTTGTTTTTTACTATTTTTCAGAGGCACTTATGTCTTATCGTCCTTTTATCTGGTAAGAGGTAAATCAACCTTTTATTTGCCTCTTATTGTTCTCCAGCCCCTTAGCAACGGCGTTTCTCAATTGATTAATCTTAATCAATCCTTTCTCTCTACCGGTCCTTACCTAATTAATCCTCACCTCTCTCAATTGATTGACAAAATAGACAATTTAAACAAATTCAGACATTTTTTTAGTTTACAAAAACAAACAGTCTTATTGATTCCACTTTTAGACTTCAACACCACCTCTTATCAATCAGAAGTGAAATAAGACTTCAGACTTCAGCACCTCCTATTATCAATCAGAAGTGAAATAAGACTTCAGACTTCAGCACCTCTTAAAAAACAAACAGCATTAATATGTTAACTTACAAATAATGTGACCCCCAAATGCAAAATGGACTAATTGTCATTAAGTTACTCGGTCCCAAATTAGAGTTCACATTTGACTTCTGAAAGTCACATGACTACTTCTATCTTCCAGATTGATAAAAATTTCTTTGGTTGGAGAGAAAGAAATTTATAATTTCATTAAACTACAAAGTATGATTGAAGTAAAGGTTTGTAGCTAAAAAACTAAATACATCCATTTTAGTTTCAGAATGCAAAGGGTGCCAGATTTTTGAATTTTCTACATCAAAAGTAGGTAGACTTGTGTTTGTGGGAAGGAAGGTGCATATACTTGCTCTTTATGGACATTAAAATAACAAAATTGATATTTACACTGCTATTTCTTATGCTTGTACCCCAATCCAATCTTTCACAGGAAATGGCAAACTTCACCCCGTGGTCTTCAAGACTTATTTCAAAGATTCACAAAGTACCTATCTAGCCCTTCCCTGTTATTTCAAAGATTCACAAAGTACCCCGTGGTTTTTTTTCTTTTTTGTAAGAGAAATTATTTCGTTCACGACACTTGCAGTTACAAAATACCTTTATTCGTCACATCAGCTTTATGTTTTGCTACTTCCGTCTCATTCAACATCCTGATGATTTAATTTTTGTTTATGATTGTTGATATTTTGTTTGAGACTTTAGATGCACAAGTGTTGTATTGGCATATTAAAAAAATAAATTAAATTAACAAAAATGTTGTCTTTTCAATCTTAGGGCCAGAATCTGTAGCATGAGTTTCTATACCCAATGGATAGAATAATCATTTTGCTAAATAAACCCAAAATTTATAAAGACTTCAACAAGTCTATGTATGTTTCTTATTCAACCATGTTATATATAGAATTCCTTCAGTATGCAGATATCAGTAGTCCAAACAGAAAAAGTTCAATAGCCAGCCCTAACATGTGTATTGATAAACCAAGAAGATCCAAGAGGGTACCCATTAAGAATCCACAGTTCCTGAATTAAAGGGGTACTACTGTGAAGATTTTTATGCATCAGTTTTTGATAAGAATAGGTCAAGTACTGGGTCTGTTGTTTGATTTGATCTGGTAACATGTCCTTGTGATTGGGGGATATAGGTTGAGTCTATTTTGTATTTAAACCCTGTCATTTAATAGCAGTGTGGAGAAAAGAAAAAAACTAAGTTTTAATGGGGACCTATCATTGTATACCATACGCCAACTTCAAGCAAGTAAAAAAGAAAACCAAACTGGAGAGAGAGAGAGAGAGAGAGAGAGAGAAAGAACCAGAATTCTATAAATTTGGCAACCGGAAGCAACATACACCCAGCAAGAAGTTCCATCCTCACTAACCTGGGCAATAATACATAAAAGTTATCAGCAAAAACAGCTTATGATGCAAGTATTAGAACTTTAATAACAGCTTATGATGATGCAAGTGTTAGAACTTCAATAACTGTCATTCAAAAGTATAGGAGAGGAACTGAAGGAAATTATAAAAAATTACATGGAGGGCGAGACGATTGGAGTGGAGATTGGCAGGAGATGGATACTCTATCAGTGTTGATGGCACCTCTACTTTCTTAAGACTTCGAGCCTCCAACATCTGTCTCTTCAACCTCACTATCTTTTGGTTTTCAATCTTAGGGCCAGAATCTGTAGCAAGAGGAAGAAGGAAGGAACAAATCGTTTCCCTCTTTTTCACAGTTAAATTGTGGATATTCTTTTCATATTTCTAATTTGGCCCCCAATTTTCATATTCTTTTTCATTTGATACAACTTATCCATACTTCTTACGTATATTACATTCAGTTAATTTTCTTAATTTACATATATATGTTTAAAATTACTGAACATATATACGAATGAGTTATATAAATATGTGAATAAATTGAAAAAATATGTATATAAAGAGCGTACGTGATAATGTTATTGTCTAACATATTAAATCCAAAAAATAAAGGAAAATATTAGGTTCATCGGATTGGGTTGGGTTCAAATAATAGTAACTCATACTCTGTTTTGGAAATTTTACAACTCGATTAGACATCGGGTTGTTTCGGGTTGAGTTATTTCGCGTTAGGTTGGGTTGGGTTCATCGAGTTGATCTGGTTGGTCGGGTTTTTAAGCACCTCTATCCATACATATATCGGGTCTCCTTCATTTGTTAACCTTGTTTTTTGTGTTAACTTTTAAAACCAATCTCTAACCATCCAATTGTTAGATCAATGGTTTAAATTGATTTTATTAATTTTAGTATTAAAAGTAACTGAAGCAATTAATAAGGAAAATGGATCATCATGAACAGAGGTAAATTCGGTACAAAACAAATAAAAGAAACTTACCATCATCTTCTTCCCTACAATTACTCTTCCGTTACATTGTAGATGGGTAGTGAAAACAGTAAACATATCCATGAACATTGTTAAAAATTATGAATTCCAATAAGTGAACATATCTGTGAACATTTAAATAATCATGAATGGTTACAAATGTAGATGGGCAAGGATGGGTGGTGAAAACAGTGAATATGTCCATGAAGATTGTTAACAATTATGAATCCCAATAAGTGAACATATCCATGAACATTTTAAACGTCTACCATGTTAATTCACAAATTTCATGTTCATGAACACTTATGTTTGCACCTAATGACTAGTCATTCTGAACATATTAAAGATGAAAACGATGGAAGACATAATAAGATGTTCATTACATCTGGAGGTATTAAATATTTGAAAAGAGTCAAATTTTAGGAACAATGTAACTCTCATATTATGTCAATATATTCTTACTAATTTGTTCTCGTTTATCAAATATTTAATAACTTATTCACCATGAACCAATATGGATTCATTTGGACCATTGTGGTTTGTATAGTTAATACAAAAAATGACACCCCTATGGGTTATATATATATATATATATATATATATA